TATATATATTTTGGAGTATTTTGACTTGGTTTCATAATCACTACAATAAAATAAAAGATAGGAGTGGATTTTCTCTTGCCATTAAAAATTGATATATTTCCTAATCCAGTTAATTTAGGTTTGTTCCTTTGTCGTCTCGAGCGTTTGACAAATAATTCTTATTTCTTTCCCTTTTATAGGTCGTATTATACCTCCCGGGATGAGGGAATAAGAGGGATGGTCGCTTAGGCCCCCTTAAACTTCTGCCCTTACTTATTAAATTTTTGGAGATTTGAAAACACAAGGGCTGTAATATCCTAAGTTAATACTATAATTAAAGTGATTGTCACCGAAAGTAACACTAACCTTCAATTGTTTGAACTTCAAGATGTTATTAGGGTTCATAAGGTTCAATTGGATTTGATGATTACTTATTAATTACTTGTTTATAATTTGAAAACAAGTATTTAGATGGTTCTTATATACACATATATACAAATAGTTCAAATAAATTTCGCCTGATTGTAGAAATAATGGTTTAGACCACATTGGTTAAACTATGATTTGTCTTGTAAGGTACATGTTTTAGTAAAATAATTTATATATTAGTAATAAATAGAAATATTTATGTGCTTAGTTCGAAAATAAAAACTTAAATTTTGATTATCTTCTATTAGGAATTCTTTAGGTAAATAATGATTATATTTGAATTAGCAATGGGAAATTATCATATGAATCATTTAGTAAAATTTGTGAATGAGAACATGAAAACATAACATCAATTATTGAATTATTTCAACCGCCAATTCGTTTACACATATAACAATGTTTCGTGCATTGGTTATGTTCTTTATTTCTTATTTATCATAAACTAATCGATCTATGTTTGATCTCCCAAATCATGGTTTGGAAGCTTAGCGAGAACTCTTACCTCATGGTAGTTTTGGGAGTTGCATGCTAGCGTTTATTGAGGCAGTTAGAAAGAACATTTGTGGTCGAACCATTTTAAGTAAAGTTAATGTAATAAATATATATTAGATATAAATAACTACTAAAAGTGATACTTTACTTGTCTATAATATGCACCATGATTTAAAACTAGGATGCATAAGTGAGAAAATTTTGATGACATGTGATGAAAAAGGATTATGAAATGGTTGTATATATGTAAGAAATGAGATAAAGAATTAAACAAGTGTATCTAATCATTTAATATGTCAAACACCAAATTTAGTTATATACATATTTTGGATCAAAGCATGTCATGAAGTAAAGAATTGAGATACTTAGTCTCCCATGTGAGCATATAGTGTTTTTTACTGCTAATCATGTAAAAAAAGCTACTTATTTTCATACATAAAATACATATTCATGTGAAGCATTTTTATATATGAAACATACATATAAATGAAAAGATGCAAAGTTATGCTTATAGAATGCATGACAAATTATTGAATGGTGTGGACTACATCATGGAAACATACTATAAATATATTTCTTATTAAATTTATCACAATTCGACATGTATAGTGTCTAATGATATTGAAAGAAAATGAAATAGGTGATGACCAAAATACCAAAGTGTAGGCTAGTTATTTTTATGTCCTAGAGGATGGCTATGCCATTTTTAAACTATCTAGACACATGTTTTCCCTACTATGGTTACGATTATTGCAGAAATTAGGTTCCAAAGGACTGGAATATATTCTTAATGGTGTTAGGATTTTGTTCGATCGAAACAATTAAGAAACACACATGCATGATAAATAAAGAAAATATATTACTTGTCATGAATCGAAAATGAACTATAAAAGAATAAATCAAACCATGAGGATGAACCATGAAGTAAACTTACATCACGGGTGCACTCATGATGTTGTAGATTTTAGTTCCACAAAGATATAAGATTAACTTGTTCATTTCTACCATGCTTAGACACATGAGAGTGATCTTTATGCTATAATAGTTAGTTACAAATGAAGATTTTATCTTTTAGTATGATAAATCCCAAAACTCAAGAGTAATAAAGAAATCAGTTAGATGTTCTCTACAACTCATCAATTTTGGAGCATCAATTTTGGAGACAAGTTTAAGGTTACAAGGGGATAGGATTATATCCTTAATTAAAAAGTATCTAGGGTTATAGGGTAAGCCATATTGGGCTCCTTTTCATGCAAAGGGAAAAGTACCTAATATAACACTTTTTCCTTGTATTAGGAAGCTATGATGACATAGTTATTTTCCAACCCATAATCGATATGAAACATGATAATATAGGTTGTACAAGGGATTTAGACCAATAGTGATGTATACAAAGGGACCTTCATGTCCTATGATATTATTGTTCTAATTTCAACATGCTTAATATTGAAATAAAATGTTGGAAAGTTTTGGTTGGTGAAGGATGATTTAGTTTCAAATTTAGATAGCAATCTAGAAACGAGTTATTGAAACATGTGTTATTTAATAAATGTGTAGCCAACATAATTATGTTTATCATCAAGATCTTTGGGGAACTATCAATTTGCATCGAGATAAGGAATATACGCGTGTAAAAATGTGCTACACTCGTGTTCACGGCTTGCAATGCAAGATCCTTTTCTTTTGTAAAATAAATTATTGACACTTATCCAAGGCTCGTAGACCAGTGAATTAGGTTTTAAACGCTTAAGAAAGGTCTTTAAATAGAGTCCCATATTATATGACATGATTACTATCAAATTTCATAAGCATCGATTTCATTCAAATACTCAAATTTCATATCTATTGTAAAGGATGATAAATACAGTTAATGTCGTAGATAACCTTGTATTTGAGAGCCTGATGTTTAAATAGTTTCACCAATGGAGAATATGCAACTTGCGTTCGATCAAACATATGAAGCTGAATTTGGATGTTAGTACCATGTGATTAAAAGTGTATTAGTCGAGGGTAATTTATCATTTGTCGACCATTGTCTTTTTTGCACTTGGAGAGAAATAAAAGAGGAAAGAAAAACTAGGGCATGATTATCATGTAAAAAAATAAATTCTTTAGATTCAAACTAGATGTTGTATCCTATATGTATACAAATGTTAATTTATATGAACCGATAACTATTTATTATATAAACATGTAGAATCCGAACTAATTATATTTGTATGAAAATCTTAATGTTAATTCCTATTAAAAATAACATAAAGTATTAAATGTTGTCTAGAGTAATCATCATTTATTACATATAACAAAGATCAATGATTAACTTAACCTCTAAATTAAACTTAAATGAGTAAGGATTAAGTAGATATAAATTTTATAAATGAGGGATTTGAATAGATCAATTCTAATATCAAGGACCATAAATGTCACTTGGACATTCGAAGGACCATTTATGTAACTCAATCTAGTTTAAAAGAGCACGAGCACTGTCGCTGTCAGTACACATTCTCTTTCTTAATTTCTCTCTCTCTCTCTCTCTCTCCCCATCGTATCTGCGTGTTTCTTGTGTGCTTGCGTGAGGGGGCTCAGCCTTGGCGGACCAACCTGGTGTCACAAAAATGGTGAATTCCGCCAAAGCCGCCACCGATTCATCATCGGACGAAGGTGGTATTGTTCACAAGATTGTTCTTGGGGTCAAAGCCAGAGACAACAAGGACGACGGTGAAGCGTCAAAGCCGAGGGGTTCCATGGATCAAAAGCAAACCGAAATGAAGAAGTATCGTGGCGTCCGAATGAGGAAATGGGGCAAGTGGTGCTCTGAAATCCGTGACCCGTTTGAGAAAAAGCGGCTCTGGTTGGGTACCTATGACACCGCTGAGAAAGCTTTTGAAGCTTACACCAAAAAGAAAGAGGAGCTTAGAAAAAAGGCCGAAAACCAGCAGGTGACACCAGTTTCCAAGGGAGTTCGCGATGGAAAAAAGGTGGCGAAGCTTGATGATAACCCGACCCGGAAACAGTGCATGGGTGTTCGAAAGACTGAATCGGGTAGATGGAGTGCGAAAATTCGTGACCCAGTTAAGAAATCACATGTTTGGGTTGGTACATTTGATACCGAAGAAGAGGCTTCAGAAGCAATTGAATCAAAGAAGGTGGAATTCGGGTCCTCCCGATCCAATGCCGAAAGTGGGTCATCTTTGAAGACTGAGACTTAATGTTTGCCTAGTGGTATTGGTGGTGAAATAGTGGTCGTTAATTAGGTGAATTGTAGATCGGGAATAAATAAAACAAGCCACCATTGTAGCTAGGGTAGGTTCAGTTATGTTATATGATTATGAGATGATGAATAAATGATATAAACATGATCTCCGTTTGATGTTTTTAGCTATTTCATTTGCATCATTTTCCTGTTGTATGTCTATTCCGTTTTCTTCATACTAGATGATCTGATTGATTAGAAGATCAATACATGTTATGAACTTGTGTATCAGCTTGTTCTAGCTTCGAAGATACGTGCGTATATTATAAGATCAAGCATTATGGACCATAGTTTTTGCTTTTATGCTTATACACGTTGAACATCGCTATGCTTGCAAGTGTGGAACATGATAATGTCAAACCCTTTTGCAGGAAGTGGTTATGGTAAATTCGCTTGTAGTTTTTTCTTGATTAATTTTCTTCACACCGTTTTTTTAATAATGAAAATCTACTCAAAATCTTAATAAATAATGGTCAACATATCAAGTACTACGTATTTATTATTTTTGTTATAACTTTTTAAATTTATTAAAAATTAACTAATTTATCTTTTTTTTTATCTATTTTATATATTTTATAAAATATTACTTCCCCCGTCCCAAAATTACTGTCCACACACAAAAACACATAGATTAAGAAAAACAATCATTAGTTTTGTCTTTTTGAGTAAAATGACTTTTTTATCCTTTTCTAAAACCAATGGGAAATGTACGTTTGTAATTATTCAAGTTTACTTTATTAAATGTTATAGGTAATATGGTAAAAGTGTATATCTACTTTTGGTAGTGGACAATAATTTTGGGACAAACTAAAATAGTAAGGTGGACAATAATTTTGGGACGGAGGGAGTATAATATAATTTATATTTTTTAATCATTTCATATTTTGGAAAAAAAAACATTACTTAATAATACATGATTAACTTTGATCTAGAATTGGACATTTTCTTTACACACAACTGAAAATATTTTCTTACGTTACGTTTTTCATTTCAAGGGAATTTATTTATTTTCATATATTTCATAGATATAGGATCTAATAATACATTATTAACATAAGGAGATTGGAATATCATGATTTCATGTTACATCATATTAACATTGTATTAGTTGGATATATCGTGTTGAGTTATGTTTTATTCCCACTGTGAGAATATATGCTAGAAATGGGCTTGATAGAACTTATTAAAGCTTTGCATTTTCACTTGCAAATCATTAAAAAAAAGATATTTAGGGTCATTAAAAAAAAGGATTTTATGTTATATAATATTAACATTTTTACAGGTATTATGCTTACAATTGCAACTAGTGGTAAGTTTTACCATTAGATATTTAGGGTCATTAGTCACAATACTTCATCAAACATATTTCATTCTTGTTTTTCTTAGAGATCACTAGCTTTAATCACTTTCTTCTTTCTAAAACTGTTACCACAATAATATACATATATCAACGTGATTCTTTTGTAATCAACTAGCTCCTAGTTACTAATATCTTTATAATATTAATTTGTAGAGAAATTAAATATCCTTTTATCTTTTCTTTTTTCCTATTTATCTTCCTATCCATGTGAAATAATGATAAATGTCATAAAATTAATAATATTTGAAAACACTTATCATTATTTTAAAAATCATTTTAAAACATTTGTCATCAATTCACGTGAGTAGGAAGATAAAAAAAATAACATTTCAAGAAAAAAATTTGGATTCTTTAAATTGTTCAATGAGCACACAATAGTTTGAACCACTTTGGATTTTAGGTCAACAAAGAGATAGTGAATATATCATTTTAATAGATGATTTAATTTTAGATGGATATGCGGTTATATATTCAGTGAAGCTGATACGTGTTATTAACCTGCTTATGTATTATTGTTACGTATTCTATGTATGTAGTAATTAAAGGGGACACACTTATATTAATATAAGATCATCACCGTCTATTATAGATTGTATTAGGTTTATATTTCGTAAATAATATGTTGCAACTTCCTCTCCCTCAATGATTTTTTGTATAGAATCTGTAGCTATCTGAGAATTGTATGAGTATAATTATAGAAAGGTTGTTTGAGAAATGTGTCTAATGTTTTCTTAAGATCAAACAAAATACATAAATTCGTATAGGGTTACTCTATGTTATTATAACAATCATGTGTCATTGTTATTTTATTTTGTTAGATCTTAGATTTTGTTGATGATAAACACCATTTAATATGTTGAAGATTTTATAGTGCATTGGCCAATCAACAAATGAAAGCTTTATCTTTTGAAACTGAAGACCATGCATTACGTGTTTTGTAAACTCTATTATTTATGCTAGAATGGTATTTTTGACGATAGGGTATTTTTGTTATTTTACGAATATTTTGAGATGTCAACATTTTATCTTGTGAATATTGTTGGTAAATGTTGTAGTGATCGTCGAAAGTGATTGAAATTGAATTTAAGCGATAAATTTTATGTTATTGGAAGACATGTAAAATAGGAAAATTGGTTAAACCAATGACGTGATCTCAATTTTACTCCTCGTATGGGGTACTTGAAATATTTGTTTGAAATATTATTTTAAATTGTTTTCAAATGCAAATTATAATTAAAATCAAATCAATAAAACAATTTATGAAAAATATCCTAAACAGTCAAGTCCTTAATATTTAAAAGGATTTAAAGTGTCAAGACATACGAGGGTTTAACAATATAATCAAGATACAAATGTAATTATACATCATTATTTACATCTTAACTCAATATAATGCTTATTCGAAATGTCCAAATGCTTAGATCTTTCTTTTGTTTTCAACTATGTCCTTTAATCTATACACATGTTAAAAAAGATTGGTTAGGCTTGGAAGGACTAGTGAAGATTATCAAGGTTTGAAATTGTTAAGCTTAAGGAACTTTCGCATTTGATACACAATGTAAACCCCGAAAGTCAAATACATTGCTAATCAACAACAATAACAAACTCTATTAGATAAGAATAACAATTTAAATAGAATGTAAATCATTATGCTTTTAAATTTGTTCATCATGTCATATCAAAGTACAAAACACATCCCCAAAATGATGATGCTAATAAAATCTCACCAAAATGGTGGGAAATAGTTAGCAAATCTCTTATGAACCGCACAACGAGTAGCAAATCCCTTGTGAAAGTGATGACCATCTATAATGTCTTTCACAACACCAATGCACTATAATTGGGTTCCTAAGTCATTGGCAGCCACAAAAATATCAACCTATCCTAAAGTGGATGCATATAATCATGATCTAAACACAATTCAAATTAGAAGGTTTGTCCTTATTTGAAAAATTATTATGAAAATTATTTCATAAATGTATCATGTATTACATATATATTTTCATATAGTTTATGAATATAGTAAATTAAATCTGTAAAGTCAAGAAATCAATCAAGTATGAAATCTGAATGTAAATGAACATGATTGAGTAAATAAAATCCAGTTTCAGCTCATATTAGTCTGGATATATAAGTTACAATGAGAGAGAGAGAGAGAGAGTATTACAATGAAAACTACGTCCTCACATAACCTAGACTCTAGTACTATTTATAGTACTCACAAACTCAAAATGCATATCAAGATTCTGAGTATCAAGGTGTTGCAAACAAACATTCCTGATAAAATACAAAGATATATCGAAGGTGAGTATCCTTCGATATGACAACATTACAAACTTCGACATCTACCTAAGACTTTGATAGCTCACAACATCTTTTGACTCTACAATCCCTCCCTCCCCCCTTGTAATGAATATCTAAGTCTTCAAATAGCAGGAAGAGTCTTCACTACATTTAATAGAACTCTTCGAATCTCCATATACAAACAAACAATCTTCCTTATTTCCATTCGATCTTCATTAGAGTTTTTCTTACACTTGTTTATTCAGAAAAAGATGCTAGTAAGATTCACCATAGAGAACACTTCCTTAAAGTTTGTGTAGAATAAATACTTCTTCTTTCCTCCCTTCGTATTCTTTCCTTGAAACACCACTCCCTTGCATTTATTAGAATTTCACCATCTTCATAATCATCGATATTTCAATCCTTATTCAAAACTGTGCTTGGATACTTTGGATTGTTGTTCTAACAAGTAGCAAACTCAAAGTCTGTTAAACCTTTGGTGGATGAAGGATGATTTAATGTCAAATCTAGATAGCAATCTAGAAACTTGTTGTTGAAACATGAGTTATTTAATAAATATGCAACCAGCTGATCATCAAGAAATTTGGGGCGCTGTCAATATACAACCAATTTGTCATTTGCTAACCATAAGAAGGGGGGGGGGGGGATTTGTCATTTGTCGACCATAGTTTGTTTGTTTTTGTTTTTTNNNTTTTAATTTTCTGCAGCACTTTGGAGAGAGATAAAAGAGGAAAGAAAAATAGGACATGATTATCATGTAAAAAACATATATTCTTTAGATTAATGGAACTAGATGATATATTAAAGGGCTTCTAGCCTAGCGGTATCAGGTGGTGTCCTCCCTCCTTGAGGTTGAGGGTTCAAGTCTCGTTGGAGACATATGTGGATTTAGGAGTAATATAGTAGGAGTAGGTTAGATTTGCCGTTATAAAAAAAAAATGATATATTATATATGTATACAATTTTAATTTGCATCAAGTATTAAATATTTATTATATAAACATGCAGAATAGAAGGTAACTATATTTGCATGACAATCTTAATGTCAAATTCCTATTAAAATAACATAAAATATTAAAAGTTGTTTATTGTAATCATCATTTGTGACATATAAGAGAGATCAATGAGTAAACGTCTAAAACGTAAATGAGTAAGGATTAAATAGCTATAAAATTTATAAATGAGGGATTGAAGAGGTGAATTCTCGTATCAAGGACCATAAATGTCACTCGGACATTCGAAGGATCATTTATGTAACTCAATCTAGTTTAAAAGAGCACGAGCACTGTCGCTGTCAGTACAAATTCTCTTTCTTTATCTCTCTCTCTCTCCCCATCGTATCTACGTGTTTCTTGTGTGCTTGCGTGTGGGGGCTCAGCCATGGCGGACCAACCTGCAGGTTGCACAAAAATGGAGAATTCCGCCGAAGACGACAACAAACAGCAGATGGAAGCTACCGTAACCTACCCAAGAAAAGTCCGGGTCATAGTCTCCGACCCTCACGCCGCAGATTCATCATCGGATGAAGGTGGTAACCGTGAGCGATCATCGCAACGCCGAATTGTTCGCGAGATTGTTCTTGGGCTCAGAGCCGGAGAAAACAAGGACGACGGTGAAGCGTCAAAGCGGAGGGGTTCCATGGAACAAAAGGAAAACGAAAGGAAATGGGGCAAGTTGTGTTCTGAAATCCGTGACCCGTTTAATAAAAAGCGGGTCTGGTTCGGTACCTTTGACACCGCTGAGAAATCTTTGAAAGCTTACAAAAAAAAGAAAGAGAAGTTTCGTGCTGGACAAGCGGCTGAAAACCAGCAGGTGACCCCAGTTTCCAAGGGAGTTCCCGAAGGAAAAAAGGTGGCGAAGCTTGATGATGACCCGACCCGGAAACAGTGCAAGGGTGTTCGAAAGACTGAATCGGGTAGATGGAGTGCGAAAATTCGTGACCCAGTTAAGAAATCACAAGTTTGGGTTGGTACATTTGATACCAAAGAAGAGGCTTCAGAAGCAATTGAATCAAAGAAGGTGGAATTCGGGTCCTCCCGATCCAATGCCGAAAGTGGGTCATCTTTGAAGACCCCAAAGACTGAGACTTAAAGTTTGCCTAGTGGTAATGGTGGTGATATAGTGGTCGTTAATTAGGTGAATTGTAGATCGGAAATAAAGAAAACAAGCCACCACTGTAGCTAGTGTAGGTTCAGTTATGGTATATGATTATGAGATGATGAATGAATGATATAAAAATGATCTCCCTTTGAAGTTTTTAGCTATTTCATTTGCATCATTTTCTTGTTGTATATCTATTCCGTTTTCTGCATACTAGATGCTCTGATTGATTAGACGATCAATACCTGTTATGACCATAGTTTTTGCTTTAATGCTTAGACTGATTGAACCCTTTCCTCTATTGTGTTTCTTTCCAAATGATATAATGAGTCACCATGTTCATGTGAAAAAAAACTAGCCTCAAGAGTTTATTCTAATCCATAATAGTTAAATTTTCGGAGCTTGTTCAACTTCTATGGTTAGCAGTGGAAAGAATCTCCAATGATCAGTAATAGAACATCGCCATGCTTTCAACTTTGAAAGATGGTAATGTTAAACCCTTTTGCAGGAAGATGGTAATGTTATATTTTTCTTGATTAATTTTCTACACACCCTTTTTCTTTTTCAATAATGAAAATCCACTTTAAGATCTTAATCTCTAATGGTTAGCATATCAAAGTACGTTTATTATTTTTTTTATTACATTTTTTAAATGTTTCTATAAATTAACTATTTTACTATCTTTTATCTATTTTAAATGTTGTTTAAAATATACAAATATAATTTATATTTTTAAATCATGTCATATTCTGAAAAAAAAAAAAAAAACACCGCACAACAAAAAAATATAACTCAAAAATCATAATATTTAAAAAACTAAACATATAGTCTTTATTTCGCTTTCATCTCTCATCGCACAATTCACCGATGAACACATTTTTACACGTACTTTTTGCTAATACATCAATGATGAACTCAATCACTCATGCAATAAGTTTGTTCAATGGCGTCATCAAACAAAATTTGGAACGATGTACATGTGATTTTCCTTAAACATTCAATGTATGATTTTGTAGACATTATATATGCTATTAGCATACAAAACAAAAATAAAGTAAAAAATTAACTATGTTGTGTCTTTATTCGGAATATATATAAGATAAAAAAAAAATCACATATGCGGTTATAAAATAAAAAAACAGAAAAATAATATGTGACTGCAAAGTTTATAATATTTGATATTTGTTTTATTTTGAAATTTTGATAACTGATTATTATAAATTTTGTTTTTGAAAAATGCATTCATTTTATTTTATATATTTAATTAAATAGATTAAATAATAAAAATATTTAATATTTAATATCTAAATATAAATATGATATAAAGTAAAATGTTATAAAAACTGTGGACCAAAATAAGAAAAATAATGAGATGATTAAAATGTTAGAGATTATTAAGTGGTTGGAATAACGTAACCTATGAAAAAAACTATGGAACCAAAACAAGAAAATTACAACTCCAATGATATACAACTATTGAAAAGCTTATTTGAATAGTAAAAAAGTTTTTCCATAAGCTACCATTTGAGATGCTATTAACAAAGATTATATGTGTACAGCCACAACTTGATGAGCATTGTACTTCAAAGTATAATGCCATAATTGTTAATCTATTTGAGTATCATAGTTGCACAATTTGAAGTTCTACATCAAGGGAATATGTATGTTCTTAAACTTTGAGCATATTTTATTTCCATATGTTGTTATTCTTGTGACTCATTTGTTGTTTTTATAGTTAAATTTGCTTTGAATATAATTAGTTATGATCATTTTCATATGTGATTTATTATTTGAATCTGCATTGTGCATACTGTTGTATAGTGTTGTTGATATCATAATTGCGTGAACAAAGATGAACGTAGATATGCTTACAATGGTCACTCAACTTAAATGCTAAATAATGGATTGCGTTCATTCCTTCGCATATATAGAAATCATAATTACACAGGAACTTTGATCTAGAATTGGACATTTTCTTTACAGGTAGCTAAAAATATTTTCTTACGTTATGTTTCTCATTTCAAGGGAATTTATTTCTTTTGACATATTTCATAGATATTGGATCCAATAATACATTATTAACATAAGGAGATTGGACCAAAATATCACGATTTCATGTTCTATACATCATATTAGCATTGTAGTCGTTGAATCGTGTTTAGTCATGTTTTATTCCTATTGTAAAAAATATATGTTAGAAATATGCTTTATAGAACTTATTAAAGCTTTTCATTCACTTGCACCCTATCAACAATAAGATGTAGGATCATATGAGGAACAAAAATTTTGGGAGAAACATAAGAAATGAACTATTTGCATGTATTTTTGGCGAAACAAATAAATGAATCATTGGATTATACGAAAATAACATGAGATAGAAAAAATTAGCAGAAAAAACGCGTCAACGATTCATTTTTTAGTGACTCAGGCGATAATTCTTTTTCAGGGCAATTTTAGTGAATAATCTAAAAAAATGAATCTTTAAACCATTTTTCTGGGAGATTTTTTGCAAATCATCGTACTGTTCATCATCTAATGATTCATGTCCTTGGTTCGTCAAAAAACACGTATTTGTTTTCTTTCTCATTTAATTTTTGTTTCTCATAGGATCCAAATCATCAAAAAGAAATTCAGGATTTCATAGAATATCATATTAAGATTTTTACAAGTATTACGCTTACAATTGCAACTAGTGGTAACTTTTATCATTAGATGTCCAGGTTCATTAGTCACAATACTTCATTAGGATATTTCACTAATTGATTCAAAGTTAGGCGGGGAAAATATAATACACAATTTATACATGCTTGTTTTTCTTAGAGATCTAAAGCTTTAATTATTTCCTTCTTTCTAAAACTATTAGGGAAAATGACTTTTAAGGGTAACAAATTTTTGGTTTTGTTCACTTATTATTATTATTATTATTATTATTATTATTATTATTTTGTAGTCCATTTAGCATTTAACTTCTTGTTGTTGTCATAATATACCATTATAACCGGCTAACATAAGTTTAGCCTGTCAAAATTTATTTTCCGGTAAACCTATGAATTTTCCGGCCAAACATAAAATTTCCGATGAACACTATGAATTTTATGGGTAATTTGAAAACACACACACATAAACACAAATCTGAAATCCAGATTTTTTTGGGGTGTGCTTCTTAAAATCGTTTTCAAAACCAAGGGTTGAAGAACTCACAATAATCTAGATCCAAACCCAAAACCTGCAAATCAAAATCCCTAAAATCTAGGGTTTGTATATTAGAAACGATTTCAGAAGAAATGATCAAGATCTTATTTTCTTGAAGCTTACACAGAAAACGATTTCAGATGTGTTGTCTTAATCGATTTCAAACCCAAAATCTGAAGCCCTTCATCTGTTTTTATTTCTGGAACTCACGACTCAAGAACACAAAGAACTGAAACCTTTGATTTCAAGGGTTGCGTTTCTGGATTTTCAAGAACAATAAGAAACCGTTCGATCTGTGTAGCTTTTTGGTAGATATTCTTGAAGCTCGAAGACTTATAAACACACGTACACACACAGACTCGTCGATTTCTGGGTTTGTTCTTGAAAAACACGTACAAGATGCCATATTTTGCTTGATTTCTGATGAACTAGATGTAAGTGTGTGTGTTTTCTTGAAATCATTTTTTTGATCTGAAATTGTTTCTAAAATCATGGGATCTTTGAAGATTTGTGTGCAAACCAAAGTTTTTCTGAACATGTGAAGATGAAGAACACACAAACATTTCTGAGAAAAATCGATTTATTGAACTTGAGAATTTTGATTTCTGGGTTTTGTTGGACACAATGAAGATGAACACCTCTCAGATCCGACACACACTTTCAACCCTTCACTTTTAGATCAGAAATTGTTCTTGAAATTGTTTGGCCGGAAACTCGTCGAAGAAGACGACATGAGTGGCATACTCGCAGGAAACCTTTAATACCCGGTAATAATAGTATTTTTTAAACATCTACAACAAGATCAATGGTAAATGGAGTACAAAAAAAAAACAAAATTGACCAAATGGAAACAAAACCAAAAACTTGTTACCCTTAAAAGTCATTTTCCCAAACTATTACAACACAATAAGATACTTATATCAGTTTGATTTCTTTTGTAATCAACAAGCACTAGATTACTAATATCTTTATAATATTTGTATATGCAAGAAGGAGACATCTCAAGAAGGAAATTTGTTTGTTTGTTTGTTCTTTTAATTTTTATTTTTATTTTGTGAAATTGTTCAATGAGCGCGTGATAGTTTACACTCCTTTGATTTTAGGTCAACAAAAGATATAGCGAATATATCATTTTAATATATGAATTAATTTTAGATGGATATGCGGTTAGATATTTAGTGAGGTTGATATGTGCTATTAACCTACATATATATTATTATTACATATTCTTATATGTGTAGTAATTAAACAGGATGTATTTATATTGCTATAAGTTCATCATCATCTATTATGGATTATATTTTGGTTATATTTTGTAAATAATATGTTGCAATGTCCTTACCCTCAATAAGTTTTTATATGGAATATTTGGCATTGAGGATTGTATAAGTACAATTATAGAAAGGGTATTTGAGATATGCGTCTAACTTTTCTCAAGCTCAAACAAAATAAATAAATTTATATAGGGTTCATCTATGTTATTATAATAATCATGTGATATTATTATCGTATTTTGTTAGATCTTAGATTTTGTTGATGATAAACACCATTTAAATACTTTGAAGATCATATAGTGCATTAGTCAATCAACAAATAAAATCTTCATCTTTTTAACTTGAAGACCATGTAATACCCGTTTTTGTAAACTCTAGTATTTATGCTAGAATGGTACTTTGAAGACCATAGGGGTATTTTTGTCATTTTACAAATATCATTAGATTTCTACATGTGAATATTGTTGGTAAATATTGTGGTGATCTTTGGAAATGATTAGAATCGAGTTTAAGCCGATAAATATT